CTTCTTCAGCGCGCTCGTCGCCTCCCGGCGCGGCGACCCGCTTTCCATTGTTTCTATGAGCCATCGAGAGCGCCGTGTTTTCACCTGGCCGAGATCGAATCGAAGAGTTCGGCAAGGGGGCGAGGCGAGAAGGGCTGTGTGTGATTTGGCAGATTGTGGATTTAAATCCGGAGACGCGCGCCGCGAATACGCGATTCGCACGGATCGCGCGGGCGCGCCTCTCGCTCGCTCGCGAGCTCTTCAAGCTGGAATCGCCGGGCTGGAATTAATCGGGTGTTCCTCGGCGAAAATCTTGGTCGACCGAAAGCACCGGTGAATCGACAGTCGAAGCGAACCAATTCTCGTGTACGCAATTGCGTGAGCAGAATCGATCGACGAGATTAATTATTGGCCGGTGGATAATCAATGAAATCAAAATAATCGATGGTGGCGATGATTACATGCAAAACCACGATTTACTCAGAGTTAATTTTGATGATGTTAGCTAACCCAAATACCAATCGATTCACGCCCAACGGCGCGTTTCTCACCATGATTTTCCGTCGTGCGGGTCGAACACGCAAGCGCACAGCGGGCGGCCGCGCGCATTCGCGCTCTCCGCCACCAATATTCCACGCTGACATTTCGCGCTCCTCAACTTTTTCAGATGCGATTTTGCATCCCCTTGTAGCGAGAGTTAGCCCTATAAGTGGAGTTTTCCTCGAGCGAAATCTCCTTTGCCGAGAGTTTGAGAGCGAGAGAAGAGTCTTCTTCTTCTTCTTCTTCTTCTTCTTCTTCTCCTTCTCCTTCTACCTTCCAAAGTTGAAGCAGAGATAAACCTTTGGACGACTTCCGTGTATCTCCCGCAGGACATTAATTACGCCTCTCTCCGCTCGAAGATGCGACATGTTAGCGGTACGCATCGCGGTTGAACGATCGATGCGACACAATTAGCAGGCGATGCACGCCGCAAATGAGAACGTGTGACACGTTGCACCGTTGTAATTGGCGAATTGCGGCACACGTGGCGACACGGCCGACGGCCTGTGATAATAACCAGAATTTTCGTTCTTGCGTAACGGATTTATCACGACGGCCCGGGCGACACGCTTCCCGTTCGGATCGATCGAAAGTTTTCGGGACAAGTGGAAAGTGGACCGTTTGATGCGCCCAGGGGAAGGTGACGAGCCACTTCCGGTTATCGACGTTATTTTTCTTGGAGCGCCTCCTCCGGGTTCCATTAACATGATCGTGTGAACGGCACACGCCCACGATAGCAAATAAATCACGTTGGTCTGTAACGTTGGCGTTGCCCCTCGCGTGAAGTCATCGGTTCCGCTCGAATTTTCAAACGGCCAAACGGGCCAGAGAGAATTTTCAGCAGATAAATACGGAAAATTTAATAATAACTTTCTCAATATCTCCCGGAGGATCTACCTTCGCGTCTAAGTTTAAATGAAGATCCCTTTAAAGCAAAGCCACTTAAAATTACGCGGGGAATATTTAAGATTTCATCGTCTGGCTAAATTCGCAAATTACGCTCGGTTTGCGAGCGATTCACGATAATATCGACGGCGGCTATCGACGAGGAAACCCGAGCCCGACTTCTCGACGACCATCACTCCCGGTGAGGGAAACGCGTCTTCTTCAAGCGGCCTATTTGTCTACCTGACACTATCTATGATGTCTCTATCTCGATTAATCAATAAAGCCAAGTGGATATTTAAGTAATTAGTATGTGAGTATGTGTGCGCATGCGAGCTGCCGAACTAATTGCGACATGGAGGATTTAATTCAACGTTTCAGTCGCGAAGATTGACGCCGTCCTATTTCGCAGTCCGCACGCGAATGTATAATTTGCGCCCTCGCGCGATTAATAAGCGCGAGATGTGTCGGTGCGGTCGCATTTGCACGCGCACCAACACCACCGTCGTCGTCGTCGTCGTCGTCGTCGTCGTCGTCGTCGTCGTCGTCGTCGTCACCAACACGTATACATCAGCGATGTTTCATTTATCCGTGACATTTCGTTAATCGCGCGACGCTGAATCACGCTGCGCGCGTCGCGCGATTGAAAATCCGACGATAGTAGAGTTTTGACGTTTGACTTAATTTCATTATCCTAATGAGGCACGCGCGTACGCGCACATTTCCTACAATCGTTACTCATAAAATCGGTTTTACCCAGTCGTTTCACAACTTTTATTCCTTCCGCTGCGCGCGCGTTGCAATTTGCGCGGGACATTACGGAGGACAGCGCATTTGTCAGGCAAAAATATTCGCGCGGCCTTGGCAAAAATATTTTTCTAATTACTGTGAATTAAAAAATTACCCTCGCGCCATATAAACAGCCCACTGCATGATCACGCGACGATAATGGTAATTATGATAAAATCACAAATAAAATTTCACGCCGAAAATAATATTCATTAGTGAGCTAAATCTCCCTGGCAGCTCTCATTTTTTATTACAACAAAGAGAGAGAGAGAGAGAGAGAGAGAGACAGAACACGCGGAATATATTTACGTGATAAAAATATATTATAAAAAACGCGCAAATGTCGCGTTTCCGTGACGCTGATGGTTCGTCGAACGTACGACTCGCGCTCGGAAATTCGGATCGGTGATGAATTCCGTATTGACAGCTTAGAAACGGTTGATCGAGAGTGAATGAAAAAATAAGAGCAATCACAAAACCAGAAGGAACGCGAAAGACGGTTTCAATTGAAAAAAAAAAAACGAAAAAAGGCAACACGGTTTGAAATATGAACTGTTTTTCAGCACACGTAGGAAGCGTCCCAGATTCCTCTCCGCGAGGCGAAATGAAGTTTTCAATTAAACGTTAATTCTAAAATTAGCTTCGAGTCGAAAATTCGACTGGAAGACTGTACGATGCCTGACCTGAATTCGCGAAAGGCCACGAGAAGCTCGTTGCTTCCGAGTCTCTTAAACTCATATCAATAGTCGTGACGTGAAACTTGTCTCGAGCGAAGTACTCAGATCTGAACTCATAGTCCAGTATCTCACGTGAGCGATAATTAACACACCGAGGACCGCTCGTTCTATCGCCAGGCATTTGCGCCCTCCCCCCACCCCCCCCACCCCCCGATTGCGAACAGATATCTTTTTCGTGACCCGTACGGCGCTGATACGAGCGCCTCCGAATGGCGCTGTACTTTTTTTCTCACACACACTTTTCAAGTACGTGGCGAAGGCGCGAGTCTGCTCGCGCGATTGCGGGCGGCGACGCGGACGCATCCTCGGCGGAGAGAAGCGCGATTACCGGTTTATCATCGCCTCGTGTCATATCTTATGGTGCGCGTCGCGCATCGATGCCGGCCGACAGATTGCGAAATGCGGCGGATTCGCGCAGCGTCTGCGCTGCGTAACAACGAGAGAGACTCTTTTCTCGGTAATGCGGGCGGGGGAGGGGGTGGGGTGGGGGGGTGGGGGGAGGCATCGTGGGTGTCGGCCCGTCCGTAATTCCCTCTCGTTTCGCGATCTTCCCTCTTCCTCCGCATTTGGAAGCGTTCCGTTTCTGGCCGCTGACGCCACGGCGTTCTTTCTTTTCCCATCTCTTTTTCCCCGTCGTTCGTTGCCTTGCTTTTTCTCCCTCTGTCCTTTCGTTCGTGACTTCAGCATATGTTCGCCGGCAATAACAATCGCGCGTTCGAACGGGGGGAATGGGAAACACGACGCGACGGCTGCACCGTCTGTCGTTCCCATCAGCGTTTTTTAATCCTTTCGCTCTCGGCGATCCGATTATTATAGGGACGTAACTTCTCTTTCGCTCTCTTCGCTCTTCTGACGTTCGCTCGTGTGCGGGCGCGAGGGGTGTCGCGGCGCTTCCGACGTGCCGTTTGAGCGATCGTCTCCGTGGCTTTATGATTTTAAGTCGATTAGCATATTTGCGTACATTGATTCCCGCGGACGGACGAGAGCCGACGTAGTAAATCGGCGATTACTCTGTTAAAACCGTTACCGTTAACATGACGTCACTGGATACACCGCGCCCGCGCAAACAAACCCGCGTCGTGAACTTTAATTAAAACGTGAAACGGTCGCTTGTAAAGAAACTAATTAGCGTCGTAATTGGTTTAGCCGGCGATCGCATAGCCGTGCATACGCGTGTACGGATAGAGTCATTGCGCCAGAAGCACGCGTGACGACAGAGCGCGGGGCGGTAAGATAAAAAAAATAATTTTCGCAAAATAATTAATGTCATTGACGCTCGAATGTGTCTCGCGCATACCTGTGCGCCTTTCGCTCGTTCGCATCGAGATGTTAAAAAAGATATTCTGGACGATGTTAACAGCGACACGCGCACGCGATCTCTCTCGCGCGACGAGCGCAGACGAGCGTCAGAGATATGCGTGTGACAATGAACATTTTTCCGTGTCCGCATTGCTCCCAAGCTCTGCCTTGCACAATGATGTAAAAAAAAACGAGAAAACGACACGAGGCAAACCTGGCGGTGAAAACGGTGTTGATAGATATCGTCGCGCGTGTCGATTCGGCGTCTACCTTCCGATTCGCTCGAGCATTCGAGAGAAATGCGATTGCGGCAGATCACAGCGCGATCCCCGAGCTCGGGGGGGGGGGTGGGGCGATTCTACCCGGTTCTATTCCTTCGTTTTTTTTTTCAGGGAGTCAAAGTTTTACGTAACAACTCACCGAGGAGACCCGGGCATGGAAATGAGAAGCGAAGCTTTCGCCTGTGCGCCGACGGTTACACGCTCTCGACAAATATTTCCAGATAGTATACAAATCTTAAACGTCCCCGGACGGAGATTCTCGAGATGACTCGGAGGATCCGCGGGATCGGGAGAGACTATCCCTCCTCCTTATATCGTTGCTCGTAGTCGACGTCGGACGTCGGGCGCTGCTTCGGCTAATTCTAAAGAGCTTATCTCAGAGCCTGGCTCAAGTTACCTCGCTGTATCAGTGCGTGCTTAATGCCTCACACTTTGTAAAATCCCAAAGTACCACGGAATCTGCTTAATGATGTAGGATTAATCTACTCACTCGATTGCCCTTCTCTCCGGTGGCTCCGGGCTCTCCGCCCGCTCCCTTCTCGCCCTTGGGCCCTGGTGGTCCATCGGGCCCGATGTCGCCAGGGAGACCCTCCGTTCCTTGGGGCCCAGGTATCCCCGGGAATCCCGGCTGCCCTTTGATTCCGGTGCAATTGCATTTGTAAGAGTCTCTGCAGATCTGAAACGAGGCATCGTGGGTGCTCCAGTCAGAGAAGATTTTCGTCAACGATTCGATATGCATGTGAACCGTTTGACCCCGCCGGCATCAATAGTTTCTCGACGTAGGTTTCAAGCGGATTTTTCATCGGATAAGCAGTTTAGTGCGCGCCGCAACCGAACGGAAAGCGTCGGGATTTATGAGCTTTTTTTTTATTTACCCCGAAAACATAACGCGTCGGGGAGAAGAGTAAGGCGACGAGTTACCCTCTTACGGTCGGCCGTTCGAGATGTTCGCGCAGCTCAGTCCGTTCTAATTTCATGCTCGAAAACGCCGCTTTTATCGAAGCGACGAAGCGACGGCGCAATCATGCGCTGCGCACCAGCAGAAAACGAATATTACGTAACACGATAAATTGCATTTATCTGGAATGGAAATAAAGTATCTACAACGGCGGATCTTGTCGGGGCGCGCGATAAAAATTGATTAAAAAACAGTTTTGTTATATCGTTAAAAAATTGGAATCGAGGACAAGGACTGCTGAAGAGGAAGAACGCATTGATTGCGGGGCCAGTGGCGTAGTAAAGCGAGACTCGCGCGAGCTGGAGGTGCGAAACGGCGCGAGAGTGCCGGGAGCGCTTCGCATTCGGTTGCTTCCACATTCTTCTCGACAATTTTGCATAATGCCATAGAAAAGAGACCTGTCATTTATAACGCCATTTCCGCCATCTCGGCAAATTCTCTCCTCAGACCTCGTTCATTGCGAAGCTCATAATGAACAAAGTGATTCCGCTCTCTTAACTTCGATACGGACGAAAAAGCAGATATGTCGCAAGCTGCTAATCCCATATACGAGCTTTTCGACTCGAAACGAAGAACGACTCGACGACATTTTCACACGTGGAATAATTCCACGCGGCGATATTCATAAATCAGAGAGAACTTTTAACTGGGAGAACTCACTTGACCGCTGAGATATGATCGATTCTACCGATTTGCTTCTCCTCTTTTCCTTTTTCTGCCTTTTTTTTTCTTTTTTTTTTTTTACGGGAAATTTGTCAGTTTGCTCGCAATTCCCTCGTAAGGGGAATTTCGTAAATTTCGTAAATTTCTCTCCATTGACGGCGGATATTGCGGCCGGTTCCGTCACTACGCCAGTGCAATACGAAGGCCGGCCGCGCGCTCTATTTGAATAACGTGGAAGAGAACGAAAACGGAATCGTGCTTCCACACATTTGCCTTGTAGATGAAAGTTCTGCTTGTGTCAACGACGTGCTACAGGACCGGCCAGGCTTTCAAGGAATCTTCGCGACACCGTGTACCCGCGTCCGCGTCTATCGTTCCTCTCCCCTTTTCTCCTTTGCTTATCCACGATCTCTCCGCGCGTGCCTCATTTTTGCTCTGCGCTTTACGACGCCTTATCGTTCGCCGCAGGATGCGAAATGCGCAAGATGCGCAGGATTTTTTAGATGACTCAACGACTACGCTGCTTGAGCGAGCAGCAGCAGCAAACTGGGCAATGAGCGTTAAGTGAAAATAAGGTATTCTCGGGAAACCTTAGGTGAAACTCACACGACCTGGTATGTCGTACGCCTCGTTAGACTCGTTTGAGAAATTTACACATCGGTAAAAATTCACCTGGTGACACCAGAGGGTGAGAGAAACAGACAAAGAGAGAGAGAGAGAGACGCGATTCGAGGGACTTTTCAAGCTCCAAGCTCGGTCTCATCTCAAGGCTGTTGTTACTTATGCAATGATATAATCGCGGCTGCATAATCTCAATGTCGTCATTATGTTGCTGCGAAGGACGGCACCGTTCTATTTGAATATCGTGGAAGAGAAGATCTCCGGTGCGGGTCCATATTGCGGCGGAGAGAGAGAGAGAGAGAGAGAGAGAGAGGGACAAAAAAGAGAGCGCGCAAGAACGATGCAAATAATTTTTCATTTCCTACCGTGCCGGTAGTGTTCGGTCCTCCTAAAAGGGAATGTGCGTTCTCATCATCAGCCCGGCAAACTCATTCCGCCGAATTAAGCTGGGTATAACGGGAGCCAAGGGAGAGGGAGGGAGGGAGAATCAAACGCAACGTCTGTGCTCAGCCGATTACTCCCAAGACTCACAACGCGCGTAAAAATCTAATACATATTGATGACCGAACTTCTGCGAATGGAGCCGAGCGGCCGGCTTAATTATATTTGACGAATGACGCGAGGAGAGACGACGTCAAGACGACGTTCCCGCTCGGCGAGCTATCCACGTGCGCGCATTATCCTGTAATATCAATATCGCGTCGTCAGCGTAACTCGTGCAATTAACTTAAGTGCGTGGGATCGCTTAACGCGCGCGACTCCTCCCGGCAATCTCGGCGAATGCTCGCGCGAATGCAAGCTGATTCCAAGCTTTTTCCGCTTCCTCTTGCTCCCTCGGGCCGACCCCGTGCGCGCGATGTTACACCTCCTTCCTGTTTACGCCCGGGAAGAAATGCGTGTCAACGGCGGGAGAGCTACGCACGTGGCGAGATACAAGAGAAAGGCACAAAGGAGACGTATATTATATTACGCCGGTTGGCGGAAAAATCTCTTCAACTGCAAAACTGAAGTTACATCGCGCGGGACGCGCGAGTACAATTGATCCGAGCGCGGAAAATAACTTGCAGCCGAGTGGCAGCCAGCCCCGCCGATGATATTCGTCTTCGTTCGAAGGAAAGACAGGCGCGCAGAAAAGCGGATTCTTCCCCCGAGTCGAATCTTTTGTCAATCCTCGTCGTAAATAACCCCGACGACCGGTGTCCGGATCCGGTTCTTCTACATCCTGCGCGCTCGATCGCCCGACCTCGCCGCATAACGATATCCTACCAAATATGTAACGGAGGCGGCGCGGCGGCGGCGGCGGCGGCGGTGGTCGCGGCGCCTCTCCCTGTTTCCACGCATCGGCAACATGACGTAACCCGCTGAGGAATCGCGCGGCTACGTCGTGACATAATTCCGCGATTACGAGCGCGCGCGCGAGAAGGCGATCCGCCAGGAATATTATGCCTCGTTTGTGCGTCGCGACACGCTCCGCCGAGGAGGAGCCAGACATCTCGCGAAGATGCCCTGATTTTGCGAAATATAGCCACTTGCATCTCGCTCAAGTATCTCGCGCGTATGTTGCGCGTTAAGTGAATGTCTAAACATTCTTCCTCTTCCTCTCTCTCTCTCTCTCTCTCTCTCTCTCTCTCTCTCTCTCTCTGATAAAGTATGATTAAAACGGTCTATCATATTAATTCATCAGTGAAGGTATTCTTTGATGAATTTGGAATTTGGAGCCGTCTTTACGAAAATAACGAAAGATCAATAATTTTTACGGCCGCGTACATTGATAGAAAAATATAGTTGAATTAACTATAATCTCACTATATTTTATAGCTCATTTTGGCGTCAACTATATTTTTATAGTTCGTGGAACCTGCATGATATAGTAGAATAAACACAAATATATAGTCAATGATTGTCTTAAATAATTGTTTACTTACTTTTACCACATATATGGTAATTTCTCATTCATCAAATATAGTGAGATTTAATATTCATATAGTTACATCTGTCATCATTTAGCAAATATCATTTTGGTAATATTGACTATATAAAAGAGTTACTTTACCTACCATTTTATATTTGTATCCATACAATAATTTTAATTTACCTTACTATAATTCTTAGTAAAAGTATCATGGTTGGTTATACTATGCCTATATCGTAATTATTACCGATATTATGGTAACACTTACTATAAATATGATACTTCGGACTATAATTTAGTTACTATATCATTATAGTTCCAAATATCATATACTTTTCTCCCAGTGTAATCACTGAGTCAGAGCTTGATCCTGATTCGTGGATTACTCGGGTGTAAAACGTCGTCAAAGATTTTCCCGATTTTCTTCGACTCCAGAAGGACACTCGTACATCGCGGAGATTTCGTCGGGACGGCTTGCTCTCGCGAAGGATTTACTTTTTGTATCCGCAGCGCTATCACGGGACTCGCCGTTAATTGTCACTGCGCTATTAATTTCCGCTACTTGCGGCAGCTTAACACCAATAAATCGGCGCGAATCTAGGTAACGCACGGTAATCCGTTTAAGACTGTACGTCGCGCGCGCAAATATACGCGCGTTCCGCGCAGGACTAGGAAACCCTGGCATATGGTTTCGCTTAAGGAAACCGCCTGGTATAATCGCCACGCGGTAAAGATCACCGCGGCAAGTGTAGGTACTCGAAGTGTAAGTACAGCCTCTCTTGTTCTCTTTCTTCTCCTCCTTTCTCTCTCTCTCTCTCTCTCTCTCTCTCTCTCTCTCTCTCTCTCTTCCTCTTTCAATGACGTACACGTGTTTGAAAGAGCGAAGTGCAGCCTCGTGTGGAGCCAACCGTTTTCGTTGAACAGCGGACGTTTACGCGAGCCGTCGCTCCAAATATTTAGGCTCGCCTGGAGGTTCGTGAACTCCGATTCCAAATTTACACCGTTACGATACGCGTTCTGCCATTACATCGAAGTTTAAATTTACATGCGCGTAGGAACGTTGACTCTCGCGGCAGGCGATAAATTCGTTGCGGGGCGAGCGAGAGGAATTGCGTATAATTTGGAAACGACCGATTCGGACGATTCTTTTTCCCCGCGGCAGCTTTCTCCGTGAACGAACGAATACGCGGATGAAAATGTCATAGCCGTATTATGGTCTAAAATTTCATCTCATTTCCAGTGTGCGCGTGCGACGCGTCGCATCTCGAAATCTATATTTTAGACTTACGTGTGTTTTCTCTTTTCTTTTTTTTATATCAACGGGTTGTCCTCTATGGCAGCGGGTGGATTCTTACGGCGCGTCGCAAAAGTAGGAAGTACACGCGAGGATAAAACCGTTTATTCAGGACTACCCAGTACGTGCGTTTCAATACCGTTCTCGATTAGTCGTGGACCGCCACCGTCGAGACCAACGTGTGACGCCTTCGCAGTTGTAGCGCCACGATAACGATAATGCGCGCTA